TTGCTTGAAGGCGAATTCTAACTGTTGATACTGATGATCCACTTTGTCTCTGCTCTTTTGTCCATTTCTTTAAATTGTCTTCCAAAACAGGTGAGGCTGTGACACCAGTTTGACAAGATCTTTTATTCTTAGGCAGTTTCTCTAATTCGTCTTATTAGGACTTCTGCCGCCAAATGCATTGCTCGTCAACTTGAAATTCTTTAGCTGAAGTGGATTTCCAATTTTGTTCACTTTCTTTGCTGCCAAAAGTTTAAAAGCAGCTGTATAACTTTTTCTTTGAGCCTATAATAATAATAATATTTTTAAAGCACGAAGGTAAACAAAAAGCAAGCTACAAAGCAGTAAATACATGTAAGAATGAACACAGCACTTCACAAGTAAATGTAGCTGTTTCCATTAAAAAAAAAAAAAAAAAAAAAAAAAAAAAAAAGAGTCATAGGAAAACGCGGGCAAAACCATGGAGTTTAGCAGAAAGTTCATGCATTACCGTGTCTTTACACAGAGTGCCAGCTACTTTAGTTAGGCAAGTTTGGCACTTATTGCACTGCCTTAGTGCAATCTAAGGTTAATGGTTAATGAGCAAAGGTCTATGTTATGTGAATTTTTTCATAAATTTTATTATACACTTTAGCTGCAAAATTTATCGTAATTTGTATTAGTTGGAGGTATAATATTTTTGTCTGTTCTGTCTCATCATTTGTTGAAAGGTTAGCATGCTAAAAATGATGTTCCTCTGCATTAGTGCAAAACATGATGTTTCTATGCACATGTGAAATGACACATGGTGTTTCTGTGAATCAGTTTGTTCTTTTTCTAAGCATCATCTATTTTCTGATTTACAGAACCACTTTCCTTGCAAAATTTTTGAAAAGAGACACCATGTGTTTCAAATTTATAGAGCTGTCCATTTGAAGCTTTAAATGTTACTTCATCATCCCCCCCTCTTTTTTTTTTTTTTTTTTTTCTTTGCAAAAATTAGGTTTAATTTTTTTCCTATTTCCATCTTATTGAGTAATTTTTTTCATCATATTAGATTGTCTGAAGAATTAAATCTTAATTTTTGGTCTTTCAAAATCAAATATTAGTTTTTAATGATGGTAAAATGTACTTTTTAAGATTTGGAATACTTTATCAATCTGAGAGTTAGACATCAGATTATGGTCAATAGTTGTCAGAGCTTTTAATTTTGTATCCAGAGATATTGCATTACATTTGTTTGAAGCAGTTATCTCTGCAAATATAAAGTTGCAACTGCTACACGATTGAATTTCACTGTGAAGTTGATAATCCCTCTATTTTAACCACTCTCTTCAAAATGAATGTCCATTGGATAATACCCCTTGCCATTCTATGTCAGGATCAGCCTCATTCTTAATGCTCTTTACAAACTAAATTCTAAGAACTCGAAAAATGAAAAACCTTATTTGTCCCTTTTTGGAGATAAAGAAGCAGTGTCTCGCAAGAAACCAACACGTGCATGCCATTATGGGTGGTCTCATGGCATGGTTAAGCATTTCTTGTAGGACATGAAACAGCTATCTTTCCTTTTTTATGAGAATTTTTTCCCTATGAAACAAACCTCATTGGGCTTATGTCATTTTAAGACTTTGGCTTAGTTATTTGTAGAACTGAACAAAAGGCCATATATGTGATTTAAAAGAAGTGCTGATTTATTGTGGGGGGGGAATGAGAGGAGAGCTGAATTTCAGATCTGTATTGGAATAAATGGTCTCGTCTGGTTGTTATATTGGATGTAAAAATACATAGCACAAATATTGAAACACTTGGAGTTTTTCGTACCTGTTATTTTAAGGGTAGAGTTACTATAATGAGCAATTGTAGGTACTTTTCCGTTTTGCCGGCGCAAACGATAAAGTTGCCAATCATGGTACAACTGATGCCAAACAGAATATCTTCGCTGGTAACCTTTTACGCCTCATTTTCAAAACAAGTCGCAGCCATTTCTTACCAGATTGATTATTTCTTTCAATACAGGCATACAATTACATAGAATATTTATGAAGATAATTAAATTTTATGCCCTAAGACCATTCGCAGTAATTAAGTCAATCACACCGCTCACCTGAAAATATAGAAAAGGCAAAACCAAGGGTTAAATTCATCAATTCTAATGAGAATGCACTAGCAAAGTAAAGCACTATGGTTTTACATAATTTCTAAGTAAGCTGTTCATACGAATTAAAATAATTCTTGCATTTAAACTTTTATTCCAAAGTAAGATTTAACTTGAAATTAATGTAGATAATTACTAAGAGAATTATATTTTTGTAGCGTAGTTTATGTGAGATGAGATCACTTGGGGTCACGGAATACAAACCGGCGAATCAGGATGTTGAACTATTATCGCATAGTAAATTCGTAAATTAATGTCTTTTTACAAATTTATTGTCTTTATTTATTGGCTTTTTACAAAATTTTAAATGATATTAAAATGTTTGTTTTCAAAATAAAAATATTAGAATTAACGTTTTTATGGGTATACTGTATGTTGTCGCCAACAAAGTCTGCTTGGCGAGATTTGCGCCGGCGAAACAGAAAAGTACTCAATTGTTTTAGTGAGCATCAGCTGTATTATTTAAGTTATGAAATAGCAAAAAAATTTATTTGCAGTCTATTTGCACATTTTTCAGAAACATTCAGTGATTTATTTTACATCACATAATAGTGTTATGATGTAAAAAGAAGCATTTTATGTTAAGATGCATGAAGGTAATGTTTCTGTTTATCTGCTGTAATTGCTTTTATTATCTTGAACTTCTTGAGGACATCCACTTTTTCCATTAATGTTCTCTTTCTGCCAAAACTATTAGTTATTTTCATAAATTAGGTATTGTGTGGAAGGAGAAGTTTAAGAAATAATATAATCACTTTTAGGATTTTTGATGTTTTTCTATAAAATGCATAGCTTGTTTATGAATATTGCTGTTTCAAATAATGTAGTCAATAATAATTACCTTCTACAAAATGTAGGTAGAAATTTTGTTATATTTGTTGTGAAAACTGTTGTGTTATCAATACTATGCTTCAAATCTTGGCCTTTTTTCATCCTTTTTAAGAAGTGCTTGTGGTCAGTCATACTACACAATTTACAAAAGTCATCATAGTAATTTTAGTCAGCTGTGACCTTTTATCTGTAATTACGCAAATGATTTGTTACTTATTGTAACTAGATGTTATAAATTATAAATCTTTTGGGTAATCTTATATTTTTTTAATCGAATTGTGCAGTTTTGTCTCTCAATTAAGTATAATTTTCTATTATGAAACTTTAATGAAATTTCTTATACATTTAAAAAATTATTCACAATTTGTGCTTGCTTCTGAAATAAAATTTTGTAATCTTAAACTATGCATAATATTACAAGCATTGATTCCTACCCAAAACGATTTTTAAAATAATAATAACAACAAATAGCTCAAATACTTTGTTTTAAAGTTTCATCTTCTTGTCAATGGGGTTGGTATTTGTAATTAAGAAGTTTATTATTTCAAATTGCATAATTTTTGCTTAAAGCAGAGTAACTTAAGTAAGACATTTTAATTTGTGCATTGGCATGTTTGATTGATCTTGCATTCACTGATTTGCCTCTCTAAATTTTGTTGCTGATTTTTTAGTTTTATTTAAATCTTTTTCTTTTTCTTTTAAACTTTCAACAGATTTTAATTATTTAATAATTTTTTATGTATTAAATTTCTTGAGTCTCTAAAAATAGCAAATGAATATTCATTTGTATTATATTGATAAACCGAATTGTTCTGAAGCTAATAAAAGTATCAAATATCCCAGATTGCTTAATTAGCAGTATATAGATTGAAATAAATGCTGTTAAATTTTTAAAGAAAATCATAATTTGATGCCATATGTTATGGAAAAGAATACATTTTTATATTAAATGAAAATTGACATAATGCATATTTTAAGCTTTAAAATTAAATATATTGTGCACCCTAAAAGTTTTTTTTAATGAAAATTTCACTGTCATATACTTTTTGGTAGAACGCATACTTATATATATGCAGCCAAATAGCTTCAGTATTTTAATCATTATCCTAATTCTGTACACAAAATTAATCTGAATTATATTTCAAAGAGTTATTTTAAATCTCCTGTATGAATTTATCTGTCATAATTTCTAAAACTTTTATCTTGGCTATAATGATGATGTGTTATTAAAAAAGCACATTTGATTACTTTTACAAGTTTTATGCAATAATATTTTGTAATTTAGAAAGTTTTATAAATTATCTTCACAATACTCATGTTGCAATAATATTTTGTAATTTAGAAAGTTTTATAAATTATCTTCACCATACTCATGTTTTTAGTGAACATGATGTTTGTAATAATGAACCTTGATATTTGTATTAGATCATAAAAAATTATTATTTTTATGATCTAATACAAATATCAAATATTAGATATTAGAAGCATGTAATCATGATCCTTGCGGAAATGCCCTTTTCTTCAGTAACAGTAAAAGCTGGACTAAAATCTAATTTGAACTGTGATTTTACTGATTGCTATTCAGATCTGCAAACAATTGCTTGTTTGGATAACATTTTAATAGTTTGTGTCAAATAGAAATTCTGTCAATAATAGAAAAGAATTAAGTTTGAAAATAGAGTAACATTTTTTTACTATATGGTTTTTGATGTAATTGGACAGAAAAGAATTATAAATACCAAATGTTTTAGTAAAATGGAAGAAATAACTAGTATAAATTTTGATACGACACACTGTATTTTTAGTTATGTAATTGGAAGTTTTGTCAAATTACTGCTTTAAAAATATTTATAAATTTTCTTAAGTTATGAAGTTTATTTCTGTAAATTTAAGTCAAAAATTTAATTCTGTGAATTTAAATTAGACCCAGAATTAAGTAATAGTACAATAGAGGCATTAACTGATTAAATTTTTATTTAAAAATATGATATAATTAGTGTGAAATTTTATTATAAACAGTATTTTTTCTTGTTAGGTTGAAAAAGTGAAGATGTTGGACCGTTTCAATAACAAAAAGCCTAATGTAGGAACTCTTCACTTGACTGCAACACATTTAATATTTATTGACCCAGAAGGCAAAAAAGAAGCATGGGTTTGTAAATTTATTATACTAGTATACTACTTAATAATTTTGGACCTAAGTTCTTTTCAAAACTTTAGCTAATTCTTTAATTTCATCTAGAATGAAGAAATTCTTTTTTACATTCTTGATCATTTTAATTAAAATTTTTATTTATTATTCAGATTGTAAAAATATTTAAAAAAATCCCTATGTATAAAAATTTTTTATTTATTGTGTTTACACAACATTTTGGCTATCTCGGATTTTTAAAATTCGCGAAGGGAGTTTCTGCGGGGAATTTCCGTTCGATTTTTGGCCTATTCTTTCTTTAAACCTTCAAAAATTCGCCATAAAAAAAAACTATTGAAGCTAGGACCACGAAATTTGGAGGGTTTGTAGGAAAGAATAGGGAGCCCTTTCACACCAAAATTTGCGCAATTCTATCGAACCGTTTCGGAGATATTCGCGAGTTTTTGTTTTAGCATTACGGCGAAAAGGGGGGGACCCCCCCTGGTGAGGGGCGACTGCGGGGCATGGGGAGGAAGGCCGAAACCCTGTTAGGCCACGTTTCAAATTTCAAGTCGATCGGACAATTAGGGCCCGAGATATCGGGGGTCAAAGTTTGGCCCATTTCAGTCACCATTTCCCCATCGGTTGCGGTTTAAATCTGCTTCGAAACAAACAGAATTAGAGGATTTGAACTTAATTACGCTTCTGAGACTTAAACTTTCATTAATCATAGAGAAAGTATCTATTTGCTAAATATCAAAAAGAAATCTTTAAAAAATAGTGTAGAAATTCAGTTTTATTATATTATACATTTAACAGGGAAAAATAAAAATAAATAAATAAATAAATAAATGTGTCAGAAACATCCAGTAATATTTGCAAATATCATTTTCAACTTAAGAATGCAAGAAGTATAATTAGAAGTAAATAAATCAAACTTGATTGAAAACTATATTGAAAAAAGAGTAAACATGATATAGGTAAAGAAACATTGCACAAATACACAAAGTAACCACCAACAGAAGCAGAATTCTTCTAATCATTTCTGCATGTTGTTTGAAGTTTGCATATAAAACAATATTTGACAGTTTTGAAATTAGCTTTTTGGCTAATTCATTTGTATGTGCTTTATTATGCAAAATCCTAGGTCATTAACATAATTCAATTTTCAGTATGATACTACCTGCACTTAAATAATACAGAAAAGCAGCATTTAATTAAAATAGATTCAATATGAAAACCTACAGCTCAATGAAATTCAATCTGAAATTAGTTGTGTATGCATACAAATTAATTCCAATTTGTGACTACATATATGCACACAAATTAATTGCATATACACGTTTCTTTCACAAGGCAAATTAGATTTATGGAATTGTTACAGATCCGCTTGACTGCATAGTTAACATATGCTAGATTGGTGTAAAATTAATGAACAGAATCATTCAGAACCAAAATGTTCACCACTTGTGTAATAACTGATATTATAAGTAATTACAGAGTATGCTTAAACAATGTGATTAACTACTTCTGGGAGTACATACTTCTGGGAGGGGTGGGTCATTCAGTTATTATTATTCTAATTTCAAAATCAGGATTGCATGGTAATCACATAGGTTGGAAATGCCATCACCTTATGCAAGCACAGAGTGAACACAAGAAATGAAAATGTGACTAAAAAAGAAAGAAAACGTGGAAAGATTCAGTTCAAAAGACTCCTGCTAACACATATTTTTTTCCCCACTTTCTTCACAGTTAAGTCACATAAAATTCAAGAGCAAAATGTTTCAAAACAGCATATCTTTAGAATTCCTGATGTATTTGAAAACTAGCCACCTAAAAGAGTTATTATACAAAAAAAAAAAAAAAAAAATATATGTACTGATTTTAATGAAATCTAACTTGTTTCATAAAAATAATTAATATTTTTAATTAGATATCTCAGGATTTATACACATTTTAATTTAAATCAATCATATTAGGAAGTAAAACGTAAAAAAACAAACAAAAAAAAAAAATTAAAATTCCATTTATTGCTTTTCAATCATTTTATTTGCTAAACAGTAACAGGATTAAATTTGAAAGTTAAATATCTTATGCTTTACGAAATGGTAACATGCTGCTGCATGAAGATAACAAATTATTCTATTTGAGGCTGTAGCAGTAGATTGCTTTCAAGAAACCTAATTTATGGATTAAAATTGAAAGATACATTTTGCCAAATGGCAACACTTGTTTGGTGTAATGGAAATGTAATATATTTGTTAATTTTTATTATTAAAATTGTTTTAGTTCATAAAAAGTTATTTGTATTTTTTTTAAAATGTAATCAATGCAGAATATAATCACTTTTTTTAAATAACCTAACACTAATCAATAAGATTCCTTGTTTAATAATTGACCTTACGTTTAAAATCTTTGTATGTTTTCAGATCCTACACACTCATATTGCTAGTGTCATTAAATTACCAATATCTACATCTGGTTCACCTCTTCAAATTAGATGTAAAAATTTTTTATCTGTTACTTTTGTCATACCCAAAGAAAGAGATAGTCATGACATATACACATCTTTATTAAAACTTTCTCAGCCTGGTAAGTGCTATTTTTATCTTTCTTTGTGTTACTATGAAGCTAAATAAAATTTTTAGCACACTTGACAAATTTTAATTGTAAGGTATGGTTTCTGTTTCAGAACTGTTACAATATTATGGTTTTAATTTAAGCAATTTTCAAATTCACAAATTTCAGTGTGAATCAATTTGAATATAAAATATTCAATTAGAGTTGTTTAATCTTTGAAAAAAGATTTAACATATTTACACTTGAATTGTATGTGTAGAAGGAATTTAAAATGCATGTTGGAAACAGACATCATCAAATCTGAAAGCTTGTCTTAAATTCATAACCAAGTTTAACCCTCTGAGCACCATGACCAGTCATGAGATATTTTATCACTTAATATATATATTTATCCAGTCATGAGTTATTTTGTCACATAGTATATTTTAGCTTATAATTTACTTTTGCTTTTTTACTTTCTGTAATAATATAAATGTAAGTTCATGAAAATAGAGACTAAAATAAGTAGGTATACAAATTTAGCTAATAAAGGCTGTATAAATAAATACAGGTCTTCATGATGGATCCAAAAACCTGCACCTTTCAGAGTGTTAACACAGCTGGTAACTGCTGTAATTTTGCTCTTTTATGAGCTATTGACTAATTAGCTAATTAATTTCTATTTTTATGAGATTGTTTCAAATCAGAGTGTAGTAAGAAGAAAAAAGAAATACCCTTGAAGTAGAAGAATGTTATCGGATTTAGCAATATCAAATGATACAATATTTAGCAATATTTGTATCGTTTGATAAACGGGGTTTAAATTAATTGATTTTCATTTGCCCTTTACATGCTCCTTTAAATCTAATTTCCAGTTAAAATATCTAGGAAATGAAAGGCACACTCAAAAACAAAACTGAAATTTTGAGGGGGAAAAAGCCTGACAAGAATGTAGCATTGAAAGCAGGTTTTTTGCATTGTTTTGATTGAATTTCTTTTTTTATCCTACTGTGCTGTATCTGAATATGTTTTTTGATATTGCTAGCAATTTTAATTTTGATTTATTTTTTACCACAAAGTTGTTAAACTTAATTTTTTTTCATTTATAATATGCAATGATTATTTACACTGTTTTGAATGAATTCCATTTTGTTCCTCTTTGCTATCTGAATATGATTTTTTGAATTTTCTTATAATTTTAATTTTTCAGAATTTTTTGATGAATTATTATAATTAAATGATTTAAGATGGTTCATCAGCTAATTTTGGGTAAACAGAAACATAGTGGTTTTCCTGGGAGGAAGGATTCAGTTGAATCTGATCTACCTGCTCTTGAGAATGTTGAATTAGATTTTAATTGTATTTCTGTTCTTATTTTATATATTTCTGTTGTTTTGAGGATTTCTTCTGGTTTAAAAACACTAGTTTGATGGGTTTTTTTATATTTTTACTGGGAAATTTTGAGATTGTGCTGGTTTTAAATTTCATTTCTTTCAAGGTCTTTGTGATTTTAGTTCTGAATTATTTTAGCAAGTTTCATGGATAAGTGGAATGTTGCTACATTGTTGAATATCATATTGGTGATGAAATCTTCATCCTTCAATGTTGATGCAAAAATCTAGTCAACAGGCATAATCCTCCAGCTTTAATTGTTGTAGGAGTGGTAAAAATATATTTTCAGGTGCCTTTTGGCAAAAACTGGCGATTTTTGGAGGTACATGAGCACAGAGTTTGTGCACTTTTTGACTTGTTATTTTGGCTTTGTGTAGCGACGATTTTTGGCGCAAAAATCGCCACTATGCAAAGCCAAAGTAATAAGACAAAGAATTGCTGAAATTCGGTCACATCGACCTATTTTCACTTGAAAAAAACCAGAGAATTGCACGAACTTGGCATTGCGCACTCCCTTTGTCTGTGTACACATCGATTTATTTTTGCTTAAAAAATCAAAGGAGCAGCCAGTTCTACACTAGAGCCAAACAAAAAATTTATCTCAATAAACTACATTTTAAATCAAGCAATGAAATAACATAAAAATGGAAATTCATCTTAGCACTACATATAGGAAATATTCGCTTACCTTATGTAGAAATTTCCATCTCTTCAGTCAGACAAAATTCCTTAACAGCATTCAACAACTTCCTAAAATTATTTGAACTAAAATCTGTATACTGGTGTCGCCACATAAACATAGACTCCAACTACTACGTATTCTCTGTACGTTTCTACAGAAATTCATGAAAAACTACAAGCTACAAAAAGTGTGGAAAAAAACTACGTATTTTATAGAAACAGAATAGGAGAACCAGTACGTAAAACAGAACCAACTGATTCATCTGATGATTGACTGAATTTTCGTGTCATCATATATCGCGTGTTGAGTGCATTGCTGGTTTTAAAGAATAGCCAATCATAGATCAGTAACTCCAACTGTTAATGATTGTCAATAGTTCCCCCGCAACATCTGTCTTCTTTGTCTGTCTCCCAGGTTCGTTGCTGCTGTGTGTTTAGCCTGCCTTCAACTCCATTGTTTGGATTACAGCGATAGCTTAGCATGTCTTGTGAACTGTGATTCAGGTAGAAGTTTTTTGTTAACAATGCTACCTCGAACGAAAAATTATCAAAGCAGAAATTTAAAGATTCATATTCTTCAGAATTTCTATGCATTAAAGCATCCAAAATTATTTCTGTGAATCATGCACACTGCAGTGTAGGCAACAAAGACTTCTCAGTTGCACATGGCAAAAAAGATGATTAAACGGCATGTTTTTTTCTCAAAAGTATATAGAACTTGGCACTGTAAAATCTACAGAAATAATGAATTTCTTAATAAAAGATGACGAAACAGGTCCTATAGAAGCCGAATGCTATTTTGTTCAATTTTTAGTTGAACAAAATCTAGCGCTTTCTGTTTCAGATCATTCCAAAGAGCTTTTCAAAGCAGTGCTTCCGTATTCAAATCAAGTATAATGATTCGAGGTTGTCCCTGCCACCTCTTGCATATAGCTGCAAAAAAGTCTACTGAAAAATGAATTGCCTCAGAAATCGAAATATTGTTAATAGATATATATTTTTATTTGGAGAAAAGTTTGAAACAGAAGCATAGCTTTAAAGTTGCTCAAAAAATTTTGGAACAGAATGCAAAGTCTCATAAAATTTTTAAATACTGCAGTATGAGATGGTTGTCTCTTTTTAGAATCTATAACAAGGATTTGGGAACAGTGGGATGCTGTGATAAATTTTTTTGGAGATCAACCAGATAACAGTGAGAATGAAGGAAGGAGATTGCAAAACATTAAAAAAATGTTGCAATCACCTACCACCAAATTGTGCTTGTTATTTTTGAAAAATACTTTGCCTTTGTTTCTAACAGTAAATATTAATTTTCCACAACAAGCTCCTTATATACATAAATTGAGAATAGAATGTGTTGAACTTTTAATGAATTTATTTGTTAGATTCATAAAACCATCAGTAATTTCTAAAGAAAATGAAGATTTTACTCTTAACATCTCTTCCATTTCAGAAGTATAGTAAACAAAAAGAAAATGAAATTTAGTGATTGGTACGGGAAACAAGACTATATTTAAAATATGCCAAGTTGATTGAAAGTGAAATGAAACCATTTTTCAATTCTGTGCAAGCTTTTTTTGTAACTGCATATTCATATATAATAGATAAATTACCACTAAGTGATCTATTTCTAAAACATGCTGAAGTTGCTGACATTAACTTGAAGACTGAAGTTTCATTTTCACCTGGGTGCTACTTTGGTAGATGGTTGCACGGATTTTTGGCGATTTACTTGATGCAATTGTTGGCACGGTTTTAACAATCGTCAGCCATCTTGAAAAACTCTGTTTTTACATATTTTGCCCATAGTAAAGTATTCAAAACTTTAAAAAAAATAAGTATTGTTAAAAATAATTGACTATTTTTTTGTTAAAAACGTTTTTTAAGATGGCAGGCAAATGTAATAAATACATTTACTATGAGTATAAAATACTAAAGTAAGGTTAAATTATTACTTTCATATAGCAATGAAATAAAATAAAAACATTGCATCAACGTTTAATTGGATAAGTAAATATTACTTAAGCTGAATACCATCAAAATACCTTAAATTCAAATACTTTAAAATAAATAAATGAGAACGCTTTGTATACTAGAGCTAAAAATGACAGCAATTAGAAGTTTACTGCCAGTAAAAAAGGAGGAGTGTCTAATACTTTTTTACTGTTACAGCGGTTATTTCTTCCACCGTGAACTACAATGCTATATACGGCCGTCCTCAGAATCGGCTCTTTTAACGATCTTCATCCATGATCCACATTTCTCGCACTTCATTGAAGAAGCAATTAGCGAGGTTTCCTCCAAAAATTTAAAATAAATTTCCTCTGACCCTTGTAATAATTTATAAATAAATCTTTGATAGGAAAACCAGGTGCCAAAATAGGTCTCAAAGGACAATTTTTTGACCGATACCAATAATTTGGTACTAACAAAACAGCATTAATCTTGAAAAGGACATATCCGTTCCGTATGAAATGTAAGAATCGAGAGAGGAATAATAAAATTTTAAAATGGCGCAGTAATGCACAAATATTCAGTAATTGAGCTCGTTAATGCACAAAATATCTGTAACAATCAGGGAGCTGATTACATCACACATAGAATTAATGTTATTTAAATACATACATAATACTAATTTTTCAACAAAATGCAAATTAAATTGTATTAATATTAAAGCCATCTAATGCTTAAAACATTAGATTACTATAGATTAAGCCAATTACTTCTAAAGTAATGTGACATCATCATTACATCATCCACAACATAAAACATAAAAAATCATAAACAATAAAATTTTTATCAATAAAATGCAAAATTAAATTGATTTTTAATATTAGAAGTATAAAAATTTTAAAATATGGAATTTATGCAAATAAAATGCATTATTTTTAAATAAATGACAACAAGTATCAGTTAAAATAAATAACTTGTCTACTAATGAGTTTCCTATGTGTTATCGC